GATTGAGAGATGTTATAGTTAAACTGTGTATATTGTTACTCAAAGAGTCAATAGATCGTCATAGATTGCGTCAAGTGGGCTATGTTCATGTTTACGAACCGTAGGCTCGGCCTGAAGCGGAAGAAACGGAGTGGTTTTTAGTCAATAAGAGTCTGACACCAACAAGAAGTTATTTGATGATTTGTACTTACTTTTAAGCACTTGGTTTGTATGATAAGTGCGACAGTATAATTAAAGCATTTGTTCCTCTTTTGATTTCAGCTCGGTTCTACACAAAGAAACACGAGTGGGTGACGGTTAGCAACAACGTCGGCACTGTCGGTATCTCCAGCTACGCGCAGGTTTGTATCATAAGCAAAATCAAATAAATAATTTATTTTAAATCGTCCAATATATCTAAAGGTTTGTAGAATAATTCGTTATTTTAAAAGATTTTTATTTTAAACAAGAAGTTTAAAATGAGCATATATGTCCGTCGGACGTTTTACAAAATTACATATTTGTTGGTTTCAAACATTACTTTGCAAGTTTTTCTTCGTTTTTCTCGTAGTTTAGTCGTCGTAAAACGTAGTTTTAATCTCTATTATACTTAGTATTGTATTACTCTATATCACAGTGCTTAGAGCTGCAGAGTTTTTTTGCATTAGTCCCTCTATCATGGCGTATGCTAAGGCGTTACAACTTGAATTGCTATCCTGCAGCCCCAACGTGAGCCCTTCTCTGACTCTTTATCTGGATTTAGAGGAAAAAATGCCATAGACGACAATAAGCACCAGGATAAAATCTCAATAGCAAATCAAAAACACTAAATTAATTATCTAGATAACAATCATTCATAAGGGACTGAGCAGATACTCACGTTAAAAGTTACACGTTAGAAGATATCTAATTTATACACAGTCAACTTACAATGTTACTGTTATTTTATGCTTCAGATATTTTGTGGCGAGCATACTATATTAGAATTCCGAATTCAGCTTTATGGTTTCTCTCGGAGCTCCCAACTATATTGGGTTACTCGTTTTTGAAAAAACTTTTCAATAGTTCTTTTTATTGTTTTAAAAGGAGTCGTTTTATGGATGTTTTAGTAAACTTTTGTTTAGACATGTAATTACGAGAATTTAAGTTTGATTGATTTGATATTTGATATCTAGTTCTAAACTTGATTAAATTTTTAGTACACAGATCTAGAGGTTTCCACTCTTTCGCAAAAAAATATTATTGTTATTAACTGATATTATTTGGTTTCCAACTATTTGGAGCACCTATACTAGTTTGTAGCAGTTACAGAACCGTGTTACGTACTGCTTTGTACTGGATAAATCTGAGTATTAGGAGAAAGGTTAAGTGTGAGCCGCGCAAGATTCGCAGAGTGCGAGCGATGACACCGCCGGAGCGCGATGTGTCTCTACGACTACAGTACAATGTCATCAGATTAGGTACTCATTAACCGTTATCACCAGGGGCCGTTAACTTTATTTCTTGTGCCTCATTAACCTATCAAGCAAATACTAGTAATAAATCAGCAAACATCAACATTATTATTTAATTATTTTTAAAATTAGACTTCGGTTTTTGATTTCGTAAAATTTTTTTTTTGGAAACCGGTTGGTATCCATTTTTTGATGTGGTTAATCATGATATCATCATCATAAAAAGGTGTGTGGTGTAAAGATAATATCAACTTACAAATACATAATTTCTTCCTATATGTATTAGTCTAACATCATTCCTGAGTTATACAATGAAATCTGAAAACCCATTGTAGATATTACTGAGTTGCCTGAGCTCTTGTTTTTGAGAATTTCGGCAAACGGACATGCGGATTATTTGATCGTGAACGATGCGCGCCCATGGACAACGCACCACTAAGGGAATTGGAACGAGTGCGTTGTCGGACTTTTAAGGATTTGGGTTTTGGATGTTAAAGAATTGGGGAGTGATGTGGGAGTAGAGGATTGGGCATCTGGTAAACTCGCTTACACTGAGAAACATAAAGCTGTAGTTGTTTCACGCCGATTTTTTGTAAGGCAGTGGTATCGTTCCGGTCGATCCGACCCGTTCGTACCGAAGCTTGGCTTGCCCACACTTACAACAACTGTCAAATAGTAGACCAAAATCACACAGAAATAATTTGTTTGTTGGTGCCACGTTTACCAAACAATTCATAATTACGGCTTTTCTAAGTATTCTAACACTAATATATATATGTGCTCCTTATCTAGTGGTATCTTAAGCTATTATCTGATCAGATGGTACTTAATATTCGAAAAAACCGTAGTCCTTTGTCTCTTTCCTCAATTTTCAGTTAAGTTGTTGGGTGTATTATTAGATAGTCATACATGTTTAGATAACTAAATGATAGTTATTTATGCTTGTACTTCGTCAATTTACAGGACGCGTTGGGCGAAGTTGTGTATGTGCAGCTACCGGAGGTGGGCAAAAAGATCGCGGCGGGAGACGAGTGCGGAGCTCTCGAGAGCGTTAAGGCAGCCAGCGAAGTCTACAGCCCAATTTCTGGCACCGTTAGTATACCAGTCGATATATCTTACAATATAGTCTCTAACAGAAGACGTTGCTATGGCCCGCGTGGAAAGAGGTTCAGAATGTCTGCCTAAGAACAAACAGCCCTAAAGTTGCTACGTCAGTAATGGGTGCCAAATGTTAATAGAGGTCTAATATAAGACATTATGAGGTAAACGGTATACTAACTTTTCTTTGGAAATTTAAGGAAAATCAAAGCCAAAAATAAAAATCCAACTTTCACGCGTTTTTCATAGGTGGTAACCAAACCTATCTTAACACAGATCTTTAGAAATGACTCAGAGTCATTTCTAAAGATAATATTCTTAGGTCTCTTTATGATCGTAGTAAGCCAGTTTTTAGTTTGCAGAACGTCGTCAGATCACTTTTCAAACATATTCTGGTGCATTTTTAGATACTGTTAAAAAGTTATAAAAGAAAACGAAACTTTGAAAACCCGTATAGCCGGGCCCTAATGATCACGTACTTACACACGCGGCACGTTTGCACACAACATGCAATCTGAAAATGTATTTGCTTTAAGCCAAATCACTCTTATGTAGAGAAGGCCATACTTGACCAGTGAACTATATAGGCTGTTTACGGTGATCATAAGGGTGATAACAAGCTTGCTCCAATTTCTTTTATCCCACAAGGAGTTAGTTATTATCCATTTTCATGAAGCAAAAGGCCTTTTCTGAACTCGTAGAAACATCTGCTACTTACCTAGTAACTGAGCAAAAAAGACTTCGGCTCGGAATCAAAAAAACATCAAAATTTGTGGTGGCCTGGAGGCGCCCGCTTTTCATGTATGAGAGAACGGTTTCTAAACCTGCCAACCTGGCAAGTATCAATCTAACTTTCGCGAGTATTGTACGCCGAGATAGTGGAAAACATCGAGAGGAAATCTGGATGTACTATTTCTGATTATATTATCGTTCATCATCATCATCATCAGCCCATAAGTGCTCACTGCTGGGCAAAGGCCTCTTCTCACACGGAGAAGGTTTGAGCATTAATCACCACGATTGCTCAATGCGGTTTGGCAATTTCAAACTTATAATAAGAAATTAGAAGTCCAGGTTTCCTCACGATGTTTTCCTTCACCGTATGTCAGTGGTGTCTAAATAATCATAGAAAGTACATAACTCGGATAAAGTCACATTGGCCAGGTTTCGAACCCACACCCTCATGCATGAGAAGCGGGCTCCTTAACCTCCGGGCTACCACGACTCTATATAACGTTACTGTTATGAAACTGCCTTGAACAATCGTAGTAATTAATGTTCAAATCTTTTTTTTTAGACAAAAGACCTGTTCCCATGTGAGCTATCTAAATCTCAATTGAATTTTCCGGTGTTTTTTGGTTGGTCACTTCCATATTTTGTTGGTTCCGACCTTATTGGAGTGGCAGTGATATAGGAAATAGTTCCAGTCTAATCCTAATGACAATAGTAAAAGAGCCTTTATTTAATATATTCTATTTAAAATTTCAGATAACAGAAACGAACAAAGAAGTAGAATCTAAACCAGCGCTGATCAACAAAGCTTGTTACGAGGAAGGTTGGTTGTTCCGTGTGAAGCTGGCGAGTCCCGAGGAACTGCATCAGCTGATGGATCAGGCTGCATACGACAAGTACCTCGAGGAGCACTGACCAGCCACCTAGCTTAGATATAGGACCGTATTTATACTGTTGTTGTATTTCCCCTTGCATTGATCGACTCACACTAGATATAAGTTGTGTTCATTACTCGTGTATGTCAAACATTCAACCAAGCTTTGGATGCGGATTCCTGGCTCCGAATGCCATTCAACTTGACCGTGGTTTTCAATAGCGTCGACAGAAGCTATGAACATCCTACACAGGCTCTCTTTACTCATAGTATGTTATGTTAAACTAAATAGGTTTCTTAATGTGTTGTGATAATTAAAGGTTTCTTATTACTTGTTTCGTTTATTCACCTACTACCTGTTAGTGACGCAACGATCGGTGCAAAATTATTACGTTATTAATATCGTCCGAGGTTGAGTAGTTCTAAATAATTTGAAAGAATACGTTTTTACCTTAGAATAATAACACATATATATAGGTAACACTAATGCATTCCGCACTGAGGTAACAACAACATAGATATTTTCAATATTTTTCAAATTATTAAAAATGAACAGGTTTCTGTAATTTTTTCCTGAATAGTGTGTTGATAATAACTCAAATCATTTTTGCGTATTAATAGCATGCATATATCTTGTAAATAACCTAGAGTATATATATATTACATACGAATAATAAGTTCAAGTTTACTGTTATAATCAATAAATGAAAGTGTTTTTTTATTATACTTTATTGAAACATTGAAATAGATGGTTCATTATTGACTGAGTCAAGTAACAAATACAACAAACTTCTAACTAACGTTGTAAAAAATAAATAAAAATAAAATCAATAACGCAACCTAAGTGAAAATTTGTAAAGAGTTCACTTAAGCGCGGCAGCACCAGATATGATTTCAATAAGCTCCCGGGTGATGACGGCCTGCCGGGTCCTATTGAACAGCAGCGTCAACTTTCTGATCATTTCATCCGCGTTCTTGGTGGCGTTGTCCATGGCGGACATGCGCGAGGACTGTTCCGAGGCGGCGCCCTCCTTCAGCGCGTAGTACAGCAGCGCAACCAGCGTCCATTCCGCGTAGCTCTCTATCGCTTCCGCATCCACGCCATCGAACGCCATCATGTTCGGCGCCGTCTGCCGAGTATTTATTCATACGTTCCATTTCAAGTATTCATTAAGTACTTAAGATGTGTATACCTACTATTCTAAGCTATTCCTTTTTTAGAAATAAATATAATGCTTGTTTATTATAATCTTCAGGTGACTCAACAGAAATTTAATACTACATCGATCCAAAATTTTTATACTTCCTTTACCAAAGATCTGTAAACTGATTCTTTATTAATCTGATTTCGACAAAAAATAACAACTCTTTCACCCTATATTTGTATAATGATCACGAGTTTGCGATCAAAAATATTTTTTATTCCTTTAGGCTTAACACTACGTTCACTAACCAAATTAACAGTAGATTGTCTCGTAGCCTCGTAGATGGTACTACATTATAAATGTGAAAGTTTATGAGATTGTATGGTATGTACAACATGTTTGTTTGTTATTTTTACACGCAAGAACGGCTGGACCGATTTTGTTCAAATTTGGTGCGCCAGAACTGACTCACCTCAATCTTCTCCTTGGCGAACACTGGCACTACATCGAGCTCGTACTTGACTGGTGAATAGTACTTGTTGTAGTAAATCTCGCCCATGTCGTAAGAGTAGCCAGCCTGCGTTATCACGGTTGCGATCACGGACGCGTCCGCGAACCCGGGCGACAACCGACCCACCTGAAACATGAAATGAAATAATACCAATACATTAAGCACCATTATATTACCAATATTAATTTATTAATAATATATTGAATAAAGTCACGGGGAAAAGCTAGTAATATATAAAAATAACTTTATGTACTTAGGTACAAGTATGTATATCTACTACAAATTGAATGATTTGATCCCAGTAATATTATAAACGCGACTGATTGTTAGTGTAGATGGATGCATGTTTGTTCATCGAATAATTGAATTAATTTAAATGAAATTTTGCACAGATATAGATTATAGTCTGAAATTACACTTAGGCTAGTTTACCTACATATGGTTAAGCCTAGCCTGGGCTAAGCCGCTGGCAGAAGCTAGCCCACCATACAAATGCTCGGAGGCAAGCTGGTCCTGCTAACAGGATACCTTTAGTAAATGCAATTATTCTTTATCTTTGGAATATAGGTGCTAAACAAAAATCATAGATCTAATAGCTTGTTCTTCTCCATAGAAATGAGCATATAGCCATTTAAGAACGAGCAAATAGCTTCACTAGATAGCTGACCGACAGATACTTTTTTAAACTTTTCACCTTCAAATATTTTTTGTTTGATGTTAAAAAGTAATGTCTATACTAATATTGTAAAGAGGTAAAATTTGTAAATTTGTATGTTTGTAAGTTTGTGTGTAGGGGGTAATCTTTGGAACCGCTGGTCGCATTTCCAAAATTCTTTCACTGATAGATAGCTACAATGTTTCTGAGTGCTTATAGGCTATAAAACATCACGCTACGATTAAATAAGGCCGAGGAGCGGGTGAAACCACGCGAGAGTAGGTAGTATTTTATAATAATATAATTATAATAATCGAATTCAATAAAATAATTTGATTTGATTGTAATTTAAGGGACACAGAGCCAGCACATTACAAAATACATTTTTATTTAAAAACAAAACGTTATTTTTATATTTCACTTTTATTTGCATGTTCCTATAACACAACACGAAATGTAAACCTTGTTAGGGGATCGAGTCCAAAACTTGCTAATAGAGTAATGCGGTGCTAAGGGGGACGTATTGGTAAGGAGTACGCACATCTTTGATGCTGACGAGCATGCTCTGCGAGTAGATTCGGCGCAGAATGGAGCGGGACTTGTCCCCCACGCAAACCAGCTTGTGGGACTCACCGTCGGCCGCGCGATTCGTGAAGTCTCGTTTGATGCGTCGAGCGACGCCAGTGTGTACGCCACCGCAAAGACCTGTTACAACATACATATGTGGCAGCCACTTACTCTTATCCATTTAGTTCTGTACCTTATTTGTGACATTTGTGGGACCCGGGACAGTCCCCAATTTAGTCTTAAGCTACCATAGCTTCGAAGTTAGTAAAGGTTCTCTCGTGCATGGGGCGAGCTCGAAACCTGGCAAGTACCAATTTGACGTTTTTGGACATTCTAAGTTTATTTAGACACCACCGACAAGCTTAAAATCGTCATGCTGCCTAAAGCAAGCGTGGTAACCTAATGCTCAAACTTTCGAGTGACAAGAGGCCTTTGCTCGGCAATTGACACTGATAGCCTGATGATGAAGATGATAATTGTTCCAGCTGTCTTTACGAATAAACCAATCAAAAACAATAACATGCTAATCTACTCGTTGTACGATTATACAGTTGTGGCTGTAGTTTATGGCACATCAAAAACCAATCGTACGGCTTTCGTATACGTATGTAATTACTGCTTTACTTATTACTTAGGTTGGCAATCACTGATCAATGCTTTGCAATGTCCATGAGGTAACTGCTACTAAAAATGACAAGGGGTATTTTCTTCCTTAGAGCATACGCATGTATAAGAGACATCATGTGGAGGAGGCGTGAAGCTGTGCGCGCCTGTCTACACGTGCGCCTATGCGTTGCCTGCACTCGTTATCACCCGCAGCGCGCAGGGGCAACGATAAACACACAGATCACCTTTTAATACAACAACATATCTTGTGTCAATAAGACATATTGTAATTTCTTATGGTTGGTAACGCAGTCTCGCTCTTTCTTTAAGAAATGTTCCCAAGCTTCTGATTACAAGAATTAAACCATTGCTTCTTGCTGACGATTTCAAGTTTCCCAATCAGTAATTATCGATCATATTCATTACAAATACTTATCTAAAGACTTCCTCTTTATTTCCGTGAAACAAGAGGAATGCGTAGCGCGTCAAGTATAACGTCAAATGATAAGAAAAAATCTGTTGGTATTCTTGTGGACATTACCTTCAAAACCTTATTAGCGTTAAAGTAAATAACATATACATATATCACACATACGTTTCATACATATATAGTTTCATACATATACGTAATTGTCCACTGGGAAATAATTTTATTATCAGCCGCATTGGTGTATGTGTAGCTACGAGTAATCGCAACCTCGTTATTGCGTTCTAATTCAATTTCTTGTGTAATGTATTATTTTAAAAACAGTCAATTGATGAAAACTTGAACTTTATTGCAGCAGCCAGACGACTTGACTGATAGCTAGTAAACAACCTCAGATTTAATTGATATCTAAGTATTTAAAACTCGCTCCGGTTTCCGGTAAACAGAGAGGCTCGCTGCCTGCCATGCCCAGCAGATCTATATACGCAATTTATACTACGGGCAAATCAGATCAATGTTAGAAAGTTAAATAAAGTTAAATTGTCCATATTATAAAAAAATACGTTATTATAAATAATACATACAAATTATAATATTCCTTTTGTAAGAGAAAAAACATCGATAATTTAACTTGATGACACGAAATGTTTAATTGTATTTTTTTTTCTGAAATTGGAAGACGAAAATGAATCTGGATTAGCATCATTTGAAGTAGGCATATAGCCGCTAACGGAGTACCATTTTAAAAAAAGAGTGGCTTCGTTTAAATAATTTAAGCGAATAACACATGTTTTTTAGAAAACAGGAATCTGATACCGTTCTTTATTTATTGATAGATTATTTATTCACTATAATTATTTAAGTTTGTTATGGAGTCACGAATAATTAAGACCGGAGTACTTTTACGACACCCTATATAAGGGACATAGAACAAGCGCGTTGGTACTTCGTCAGCTCGAAGAAGTTACAAATATTATGTAGAAAATGTAGGTATATTTTTACTGTATCCACGATACTATAACCTCTGACATTGGTTGCAGCAAAATAAAGCTAAGGGAAGCAAATCATATATAAGTATTTTATTAAGGAGTAGGCAAAATGCGTTTTGCTTTTTTTGGTACCTAAATACGTGTAAGGTTTAAAATATTAAGTGGTCACTTAATTAGTCGGTATTAGTAGATATGCGAATAATAGCGGGATAGTATTTGGGTATGGTTGCGGTCGATGCGCCGTGATCCGTCGATAACCTCGTAGCTGCTTAACTGTGCGTATCTGGCACCGCCCGCCTGCGTCTGCGCCAGAGCCGCGCCGCCGCGAGCCTCGAGCCCGCGCTTATCACTTCCGCTTGTTTTTCTAACGCTACAGTTTCATTGGTATTGACATTTATGAGAAAATGTTGTTAAACATTTTACCTATCAATGAACAATCTGGAAGGGGTGGTCAATAGCCGCTTCTAGATAAGATTGTTTTATAATTTTAGCGATTATTTTATTAAATATAATGACATGCTATTTTGTTTTATTTTATATGGCGTAAATTACTTCTGAGATTGAATATAAATTAAAAAAGAGGTTATCACGTAAAACCCTTGGCCGACTTCTTGGCTGGTTATCAGCTCGCGTCGACCCCAATGCATCCCTTTCGGAAGTTTTGATTAAGGCAAATAATGCGGAGTGGCCTTGGGACAAAATGACAAATGATGCAATAGCTTCACTGCTTACAAATAAATGAACAATGAAACTAATTTAAGACTCTATCATTGAACTAGCTTTAAAACTAGTTGTACCTACTATTACCCGATACTATTGATTCTATTGTCTCATAATTTTGCCTAGACTAAGAAAGTTCGAGTTTAATTTAGGCGACTTTAAAATCTACAATATTAGTTGTGATATGTGGTTAGCTGAAATTCGGAATCTATTAATAACCTAGCAAATAAAAAATAAGGCAGTTTTAGAGACAGATCTAAATTTATTTATTTATTTATTTATTTAGAAAACCAACAGCGATACATGTGGTATAATACAAATAAAGATATTACAGTTTAGTAAGGCTAATAATAGGTTTCCCTGCTTAACTTAATTTGTGTTTACCATGCGAACGGACTTTAACCAACTAAACTAAAGATTTTACCAACAGATGACTATAAAGAAGATACGTAATAGTGAAAACAGTTTAGCGGCCTACCTCTGTCAGAAGTCATTGCGATGTAAATCCTCTTCAGCTTTTTATCTTTCTCTGTGGTTGCAGTCTGAGGGCTGCCGGGTTCTGTTGGTGGTGGCTTCTTCTCAGTCTTCTTTGTCTTGTGATCACCAGATGGGACGTCCACAGGCCCCAGCACAAGATGTGAGCTCTCGTAGAACTTGCGGGGAGCGTAGCCAAACGGCCGCGCTGCCTGTAATTCGCGCTCTGCTTTCGTAAACCTGCATTTAGGCAATAATATTATTAAACATAAATAAAAATATATGGGAGAGTTTAATGTTTCACTGTGTATTTCAAGTTACCGGAGTCCTTCCATCCCGTTATCCTTAAACCCCTAAACACATATCCTTCACAATCCTCACAACCAAAAATACCGAAACGATAAAGAATCTTTACTTTATTATGAGAAATACTCCTCTCGCTCCCGAGAGGGAGTATCAGGCTCATACCGACTCCGTTTTTTCTCCTGCTCCGAACCGGAACCGCGCTTATGTCCAAAATTATAATCGTCGCGCGGACCCCTACGCCCGGAGCGTCTCATACCGCGACGGCTGGGTCGTAAGGAGGATATTTCCCTCAGGCACTTCGCATGCTTCTTAGTAAGCTCTGAGATCGCTGTGAACATGACGCCCAGCCCTGGCAGGGCACGCCACCACCATATGATCCACCGTGTCCCTCACAATGACCGTCACCCGGGCATTTCCTCCTATAAAAACTACTACAAAACTATAAAATGTCTGACGTTAAAAAAGAACATTTTCCAATACATGCGTGGTCCACTGTGCCCTACCATATTCCACCTGTACACGGTGTCTAAGACTGTAATTAGAACACACTACAACTACAACTAAGCTCAAGAATTGAAACACACACAACATCCACATCACGTCACTGTGTTAGGTACTATACATTACATAAGCGTTATAATTTACTAATAAAATTACTTGCTGGCTGACACCATCTTCATGGTTTTAGTGATCTTTTGAATGTTTTTGACTGATTTTAGCCGTATGGACAATTGTTTTAGCTGGACCATTGTAAAGGCTCTGTTTAATCAGAAACTTCTGTTAATAATATAACTATTTATTTAATACCAAACATTAAACTAAGCTGTCATTGCGGAAAATAATCAAAACAATAATAATAATAAACTATTATTATTTTGTCAGATGTCACGTTGTCAACCTTCTTGTCAATGTACCATAGACGATGCATGAAATGTATAGGAACTATGTAGTTTATGAACACGTACTGAGCGGTGGTTTGGTTGTAGCTAATAGAACTTCTGAGCATATTTTATTTATATTGAGTATCTATAGCTATACTAATTGTACTAATATTACGGAGGTAAAATTTGTAAGATTGTATGTAGGGGGATATTTTGATTTTCTAAAATCCTTCACTGATAAATAGCTACGATGTTCGTGAATGGCTATAGGTTAAAAATTATAACATTAATAAAATAAACGCGTATAAACTATTTTGAAAATTGCATCAAGCAGTAGCAGCAACATACCTACTATTATAATATTGTATTTCAACAATTCATCCCATACCAGGGCATGGAGATGTAACTCTCCATGTACCTACTGATATAAAGAAAACACTCTGCCTACCTATTTCTGAAACTTTCATGTTTTTTAACATTGTTTTGCCTCCATTTATTGATGTCGTATTAAAATGGGTTTTTGCGCCTTTATTCAGATATATTTCCAATTTTTGCCATTTCACCACTTTAAGTATTATCATACAAACGGCAAAACATCACCGGCAGATGTTCGAGTTTTTTTGTGCAAAACGCTAAAGAATAAAATTTTTTCTCAAAGTCTGCGTTTCTAGAAAGTAACAACGAGGCCCAGCCTAGTTATCGCCAAGTTTGACGTGTACATATAGGTTGCAAATTGGTAGGAGTTCTACATCGTTGTTCGCCATGCCACATCCTAATTCATCACCGCGAATTAGGGACCATTTTTGAGTTACGACCTTTTGGGGATCAATTAACCTCACTCACACAGCGAAACAAAATATTTATCCTCAATGAACCAGATTCTCGTCTCCATGATACCATCTTACAGAATTGTACCGCGAGGTGCATGATGACGTAGTGTTGTAGAAATGAGTGTTCCGTATCCATTTCGTTCCAAACTGAAGGTGGTTTGGAACGAAACGGATACGGATTTGGCAGTGACATCAGCTTCAGGAACAGCTGTTCCTACATGGTCCGCAACGCACATAAGTGATGCAACGATCACTTACCATCAGACGGCCGTATAAAACACAGGATATCTCTAGCATAGATAGATAGATAGATAGATAGCATAGATAGATATATCTTGCATTTACTAAGCGCTACCAAATTGTCAAAATAGTTATAAGGCTACAAAAGAACTGCTAGTGATTGCAATTTACAACGATTTCACAATGTGGCGTGTCCAATTGCCCATCTCGGAGTAAACAGAAGAAATCAGTATGGCGCCTGTCCAGCTGAGTTACTTAACCTAAACTACTGCAACAACGCCTTGTTTTGAGTAGTTCTGTGGCCTTGAGAAATGGCGTTTCAGTTCCTGCAATATTCTGCGTGGTTAAGACAAAGGCTTTATTATAAAAGTACTTCGTTGAAACGGTTTCAGTCAATAACAGTCGGTACAGTGTTGAGAGCTCGGTGGACACGCTCGCGCTGCTGAGGACATTCACTTGTTATTGAGGTAGGATTGGACTCTTGTGTGTTTTCAGCCTTATTATTTAGTGCTATAAGAACTGCTCTAACGTAGCAAATGTTTTATAGTGTGTGTGTGTGTGTGTTTGTATTCCGTGTGCTGTCATTAGGTACATATACTCGGAATTTTAATTCCATTCCAGATTTGACAATTTCAGTGTTGCGACGTTATGACACGTAATAAATAGTGACGTTGCGAAATTATTCGATATGGAAATCGAATATTTCTCAATCGATTCCTCTCGTTTATAAATTTACTCTCGTAAACTAAGTTTATCAGGAAATAAATATTTCTGAACCGATAATTTAGTTTTGACAATTAATTAACGATCTGAGACTTTTCTTTTGTAATTGTGTGTGAAATTAATAAAAAAATGTGATCATGAAGGAACGTGACAAATAAAACAGACATTTTATAAATTGTCGCCGTCATCGCTATCGCTATCGCCGTTACTCTATGTAACATTTATTATGAATTGTGTCTTTGATATTTATTGTCAATTAACATATCTAGCTTACTCATTTTTTCCTCTTCTTTGAAAACATGGGATACACATTTAGACCATTCGGTAGCCGTAATTTTTTGAATGCCTTCCTGAAACTCATTCACTGATTGTTTATCGATTTTTGTGTTCATCACTACACTGTTATATGTGGTATCATTATTTCACAAAATGACAGTGGTCAATGTCAAATCAGGAATCGAATTAAAAGTCTGACTATAGTATAAAACAAAGTCGTTTTCTCTGTCCCTATTTCCCTCATGTATGTGTCACACTCAAAACTCATAACAAGTCAATACCACTTTTGACAACTTCCTGGTAAAGCCATTTTTAGACTGCGAAATCAGTTAAAATTGTTTTTAAGTAAGGTCATCCGTCAAAAGTATTTTTGCCTATTTTTGCAGTCAAAAGTAGTATTGACTGGTTATTAGTTTTGACTGTAACATATACATATACCAATTAATATGTACCAAAATGTAGTAAGTACCTTCAGATAACTTTTGGGTTCATATTTCATTTTCATTTTAATCGATATTACAATTTTTGATTGTTGTAATTAAAGTAGTATTTACGTATATTATTGATGGCACTGAGCAGTAAACGGTATCTACCTGACACTGACTCTAGGCCTGAGATTACTCCGCACACGTTTTATTATGATTACATCAGTCGGTCAGTTATCAAACACGATGATAATTAATTTATTAGATACCTACGACTTAACTTGGAATTCACAAGTTTCATTCTAGAAGTTTTTTCCTCCGGTTTTTAGTAGTAACATACCTAACCAGTTTATATGATAAGTGACTAGTTACTGCTAACAGTAACGACGTAATTGATTTCGATAGTCGAGCTGTTTATCAAGACAATTGAACGTTTAATTCACTTTAGTTTTATGTCCCGAGATAAAGAGATAACATATCGAGAGCGGTGCTCTCCGCCTCTGACCTCCTGACGCGGACGGCAGGATCGAAATTATTTCGATAGCGATGCAATTCATCAATGAACTCTAACATTAACACTTCTTAACACAGCTTGCTCTGGTATTTAAACCTCAATCATAGAACATCTATTTCAAGTTGGAGGTGTCATTGTTCAATAGAAATTTAAGAACTAAGAAAAACTAACTGTAATTGTCATTATTTTCAACATTTTTTCTTAATAACCTTTAGAATTAAGAATCATATTACCATAATATGAACAAGCTACATAGATACATGTAAAAAAAAACAAAACAAGAGAATAACAATAATAAATACCCCGAATACTAATGGCGTCGTATTTCGTAAGAACAAGGTCAACATAAGTATAGCAGGCGCAAGTAAATAAATAATAAATCGAAATACTTAATTGACTTTTTATAACAATATAATTTACGTACAAAAAGTCCCAAACGCAATAAAGCAGTAACATTGCATAGACTAACTTTTTATCTAATACATTGAAGTGACTAACGAACTCTGCTCTGCGGCCTTTTGGATATGGTACACACCTACTTTTAGCCTACACACCTACATTTAGCCGGGTTACAAGTGTAATCATTTAGCACAGACTCAGCCCGGAACGAGAGAAGGAACAGGGGGTTTTTTGTTAGTAAGTCTCTCTCTCTCTCGCCCTCCCCGTTCCCGTAGGGTGGGAAAAGTAATTATTTTTACAATACTCTTTATAAAGATACCCTCCAAAAAAACTTCACATTTACGTACTCACCATAATAGCAGACCGACTGACCACCGACTGCCTGGTGCCCTGTGCTTTGAAACATGATTACTCACAAAGAACAGTCAGAAAGATTTTTTGCGTAGATTGATGACATATGTTATGATAATGCGACCAGTAAATATCGAAGTTGTTTATTAGTTGTTATTATTGAAATGCCGCATCCAAGACGTGCGGTCAGTGGTGCGTGTCGTGACGTCACAAGAGTCTCATAAAAGCTGCGCGCGCGCCGCTCGCGTTTGTTTATACGCAAAGCGTTAGAGTCGCCCACAGTGTCACATCGGTGTGTTGAGAGCTTCAAGATGATGAGAGTACAACCAGAACGTGAGGAAGTGAAGCTTTCCTCCTCACCTCCCGACAAGGTTAGTCCTCACTCCTCCTGCCTCCATATAATAACATATTAAGCTCGCGAAACGCAAATTGTCTCTGATTCTTTATACTTTCCAGCAGTTGATTTATTTTGTGTACGAGTTATAATTATCGTATGAACTGGTTATGGAACAACAGCTTTGCAATAGCGAACCAATTAATATAAATGCTCAAGTAATTAATGTTTATGAACGAGTGGTTGTCAGCGTTGGGGTAATATACCCCTTAGCGTCGGTAAATAAATATAAGACTTCAGCAAGACAAAACAAATTGAGAGAGCTTGTGACATTGAATTAAAACAAAAATCAATAAAATTTTATC